GTATTTGTTAAAAAAAGAAGCTTGGGTTGTTCTAAAAAATGATATCAAGCATTGGCACAAAAAAATGTTTTAAAGATAATTTATTAGAGAATATGCCCCAAAAGGCTCCAAACTTCAAAGTTTTTTTTTTATTTCAACCTTTTTCTGAAGGTTGAAATAAAAATAAAAAAGCTCTTCATTCTTCAATATTAATTATGTTCTCAAGTAGAAAACACAATTTCTTTGTGGTTTAAATATGAAAACTGAACAATACATATTTTTATTATGTGAAAATCACAAAAACTGATAAATTTTCTTCTCAGTCTTTATAACTGGAGCACATTTTAAACTTTCTGTCATTTTTTTCTTCACAGGATGAACGAACTGCAGTTCGGGATTTCTTTAAAGCACTGAGTGATATCAGAGGAAAAGAACGGTCTCTTCTGCACGGAGAATACATCAACCTTTATAATTCACCAACTTCTCTTGCATTCGTCCGTGTTTGGGACCAGAGTGAACGTTTCCTGGTCGCCTTAAACTGGGGAAATGACACTGTAACCATGAAGCTAAGCGATAACGATTTGCCTGCAGATGCTCGGGTCCGAGCAGCCACAGACACAGAGAAGCTAGCTGTGGATAGCAAAGTACCCACTGAGAAGCTAGAGCTTGGTGCCAAACAGGCCGTGGTGTTGTCCTATCCCTTCTCTGGCTAGGCTCACACAGACTAGTTAAGGTCTAGTTTCAATGCCGTGCACAGAGCAGCTTTGAAATGAAGAGTCTCCATTAAAGATTTAATTGTAGTAACTCTACACTAATGAAGTAGAAATTGATCCTCATAAAGAGACTAAAGCAGCTGTGTAATAAAAATAAAACGGCAACTGAATATGTGTTTGTGTTTTATTTGAAAGTCTCCATTTTACAGCTCTGGAGTGAGGTTCTTGCAGTTGTTATTGAAATACTGTGATGATCCATTATCATGCAGTGGATCATTGCTAGAAGCTTTAGTAGCTTAACAACACTGAGAATGCTAAACAGCTAACAAACCCTGCTGCATTGAGAAGAAAAGAAGAGGGAGGGGAAAGAGATTTCAAAGTTCAGAGAGATTTCCAACACCCTGATTTATACATTGATTGTATGTACGAAGTGTCACTTATTGGTTTCTGGCAAAGAGAAATGAAGCTAAAAGTGGGTGTCACCAGAAATCCCCTTCGTGAAAGTGAGTCACTTCCCAGTAATCAAAAATGGGCAAAAGATCTGCAGAGTCAGGGCGTGGGCGTAGACACCCCACACTCGACGGTCTTAAACCACACACACAAAAAAGAAACTAAAGTAAAATCAAAAAACACAAGGAGAAGCAAAGTTCTTCAGGTGAAATTTGCTGTAATGAACAAAACCAGAGGATAAAGCGTGATGATTTCTATTACACAATTTAATTGAAAAACTCATCCTTAATTCAAATTTTCTTTTATTTATTTTCCTGCCCGCTTATTCCCTTACGGGATCAGGGGATCTGCTGGTGCCTATCTACAGTTACATCAGATGAGAGGCAGGGATACCCTGGATTGGTCCCAAGTCCATTGCAGGGCAGCACACATTCACATCTAAGGGGAATTATTCAATTAACCTGTCTCATGTTGTTGGGATCCTGGGTGAAACCAGAGTACCTGGAGGAAACCCACGCAAGCACGGGGAGAACATGCAAACTCCTTTCAGGAAGGTCACCGGTGAGCCTCAAACTGGTAATCTTCAGATTTTCAATTTAGCTTAATTTTACTCTATTTTAATGCATACACTTTAAAAATAACCGCTTGGTTAAAGGGTTTTAACACAAAGGTTGGGTTGTTTGATGGTGAAACTCCAAATTCACATGGCATGTAAGGCGTTAATGATCAGATGATCCATTGCTTGGGTTGATTGACCCCAACCACTGTGTGTTTGATCACTTTGACGCTTCGTCTGAGCTTTCTTACATCTTTACATCCACCAAGATGGATTGCTTGAAGCGGGCAGCGTTTTGAAGTGAGTTTGTTTGGTTTTCTTTCAGTTGTTGGTGTAATAGAAACTTGTTTCTCGTCATGAACCTGCAAGTTTGGTTAGTAACCATTGTTTATGACGTTAGGATACCGTTATAACACTTCATGTGGCATCAGAACGTCCGTCAGCAGGAATAAACAGAGTTTAAAGTTAAACATTCACAAACTAACTTACAATATTGTAAAACATTACATTCCAAGTAATGGTAACTTTTTTTGTGTTTTGCGGTTCTTGAAACGCTAAATTTACTCAAGGAAGGTATTAACTTATGGACAAGTGTTTCCCATTAAAGTGTTTTTAAGTGAATTAAAGCTTACTGTTTCATGAATACTCCTTATATTATATTTTGTTTAGTATTCTTGTCTTTATCAAAAGTGCAAACGCACAATGTTTCTGCTTGTTTTAGCTAAATTGGAATTAGATAACATGAATGTTAATTTCAGAAGCTCTCTAATCCAGATTGAGACTCCCCAGGATACCTTTGTCTCTTTTAATCTATAATTATTAAAATTGAAACAAATAAAGGCTTAAATGTTTCACAGAATAAATATGCTGCAAATAAACCCCAAACATATATTTCATATATTTTAAATTTAAATTGATTTTATGTGAGTGGCACAGTGGGTATCACTGTTGCCTTTCAGTGAGAAGGTTGTTCTCACAAGTGGGTTTTCTCCAGTTTACCCTGCAAAACCAAAAACATGCAGCAGGTTAATTGAATTCTCATAATTCTTGGTTTTACCCTGCCTTTCACTCAAAGAGCAGCAGATCCCATTGACCTTGAAAAGGAAGAATTGGGTAAAGAAAATGAACGAATGATTATTTAATAAAAGAACTGATGTATTTATGCAAGCTGTTCTGTATTTACAGGAGGGGACAAACATGGTGGAATACCTGCAAAATTCTGCAACTGCCTTGGAGATGGTGAAAAAAGCCAAATCTTTGCCATAATAAACAGCCAGGGATTTGACATGCACTCTTTGACGGCAGCCATCAATTTTTGGCTTAATTGCACAATGCGTTGTCATCCGAGCTGAGAGTTTCTCCAAAATGCTCTGTATCAAAGAGATGGACACAAATATCTTAAATGTTTATGTATTAAAAGCATTTTATTAGAATACAGGTATGCTAATATATGTAATTTGGTGTATATTAAAAATATAATTGTTAACAAAACTGTTGTGATTTCATTAATAACTCAATAGTAAGTTAAAAATTAACCCTGTTTCAATTAACCTGTGGTTCATTTTTTAACCCAACCTAGATTGTAACGTCCTAAACAAGCACTGTCGGTTACAAACCAAACTCGCATGTTTATTACGGCAGTTTTCTGTTACATCAATAGCTAAAAGAAAATCAAACAACCTCACCTCAAAACAGTGCCGCTTCAAGCAATCCTTCGTGGCAGATTTAAAGATGTAAGAAAGCAAAGACAAAGCATCAAAGTAATGAACCAGTTGAGTCAAATTAACCCAAACACTGGTCATCTGATCATTATATCTACCACTAGATCGTGGAGTTTCACCCTCAAACAACTTAACCTTTGGATTAAACCCTTAAACCGAGCAGTGTGGTTAAAGAAATAACCCAGCATTTTTAGAGTGTATCTGATGAGGAAACAGCACTACCATGCTAAAAGTCGATTTTATGCCCTTTATAAAATGTTTGTAACCATCATAAAACTTATTAGGGCTGAAACTATTCAATGTCAACTGTAACAATGACATTTATCTACTAGGTAATAATCATTGAAAGATTGAATTTTACATCCTTGAAAATAAGCATCTCCAGATGTACTTTATTGCTGGCGTCCATCTTTGGAAAGAAAGGTAAGTCTGCAAGAATTCAGTTTCCTCAAAGCCTGAAGTCACAATAAACATGCATGAAAAAATAGATAAATAGAGCACCGTATGGCTCTTGTGATCTCTAATGTTTGTTTTTGAAGTACAGGATCAGACAGGGATAAGAAGGTCCACCCTGAATCCTGCAGAGCATTGATGAACTCCAGGACCCCCCTAAAGCGCTGAGAAAACAAACCGCCTCACTCAGACTCCTTCACTTCCCCTCAGCTGGTATTGTTCATCTTAAAAGCAAGGAAGGAGACAGAAAAGCATTTTCATTTTCTGCAGTTCTTTCTGAAGGGCTTCCTGTTCTAGAAAAAGCTGATATCTGTCTGGTTCTTTTTTGGGAGCGAAACGCATACAACACAAGTTTCTATTAAAGATGTACAAGGAACATACTTTATGTAAATCTTGAGGTTTTTATAGAAAGAGAAATTGCTGTCATTGAAATAACCACAGAGATTTTTTACTTATTTAAATACTTGCCGAGGTTGTGAAAATTTTGAGGTTGTGATAAAATCTTAGCTTTGTTTCATCTTTCCTTCTTTTCCTTGCTACTGTCTACAAAAAAACAGGTTCCAGTGGTGAAATTGGTTAACTTCCTGTACTTATAAGACAGTACAGAGCAATGCTGAGGTTGTGAGTTTGAAGCTAACATGGAGCAAGATTTTTGAGTCTGAACACATTTTATATTTGTTTGAAATACTGTAATTTCAGTAAGACAGTACAGAGCAATGCCGAGGTTGTTGGTTCGAGCCTCACCCGAAACAAGCTTTTATTTTAACAAGCATCTTACCTTTAATTGGTGTCACCAAAATGACGTGTTCCAGTGGCTAAATCTGTTAACCCACAAAATATATAAAACAAAACAGAGCAACGCTGTGGTTGTCAGTGAGTGCTAACTTTTTTTTGTGCTACGGTACTTATAAGACAGAACAGAGCAATGCCGAGGTTGTGAGTTCAAGCCTCACCTGGAGCAAGATTTTAAAGTCTAAAAACATCTTAACTTTTTTTAAAATACTGAAATCACCTTCTCTCCCTTTACTTTTTGTTCCTTAAAGCTCCAGTGGCGCAATCGGTTGTACTTATAAACATACAGAGCAATGCCTTCTCTCCCTTTACTTTATACTGTTCCTGATAGCTCAAGCTCCAGTGGCGCAATCGGTTAGCGCGCGGTACTTATAAGACAGTACAGAGCAATGCCGAGGTTGTGAGTTCAAGCCTCACCTGGAGCAAGACTTTAGAGTCTAAAAACATCTTGACTGTGTTTGAAATACTGAAATCACCATCTCTCCTTTTACTTTATACTGTTTCTGATAGCTCAAGCTCCAGTGGCGCAATTGGTTATCGTGCGGTACTTATAAGACAGTACAGAGCAATGCCGAGGTTGTGAGTTCAAGCCTCACCTGGAGCAGGATTTTAGAGTCATAACCCGTCTTATCTTTGTTTGAAGTACTGTAAGCATCTTGCCTCCATTTTCTAATTGGTGTCACCAAAATGGCCTGTTCCAGTGGCTAAATCTGTTACCACACGAAATTTATAAAACAATACAGAGCAATGCTGTGGTTGTCAGTGAGTGCCTCATCTGGATTAAGACCTTAGAGTCTAAAAACAATGATGTTGAAAACAATATAAGTAACAACTGATTACTTTATACTGGTGCATGTAGCCCAAGCTCCAGTGGCACGTGCGATACTTATAAGAGAGTACAGAGCAATGCCAAGGTTGTGAGATTCGAACCTCACCTGGAGCAAGATTTTAGAGTCTAAAAACATCTTGACTGTGTTTGAAATACTGAAATCACCATCTCTCCCTTTACTTTATACTGTTTCTGATAGCTCAAGCTCCAGTGGCGCAATCGGTTAGCGCGCGGTACTTATAAGACAGTACAGAGCAATGCCGAGGTTGTGAGTTCAAGCCTCACCTGGAGCAAGATTTTAGAGTCATAACCCGTCTTATCTTTGTTTGAAATACTGATGCTTGATAATTTATCTTTTATGCAAAGCAAAATTATCATTATTTGCAAATTTTCATTGTACGAACATATTGTTCATGGTGGATGTTTGTTGTCCTCATTTCTCTGGATTAAAATAAAGTTACTTGTGTTAATGTGGATTTATGTTTATGTCATAAGTTACCAGACAATATCAGTATACTATACAGTATATGAGCATATGGTTTTACTTTTTAACATAATCTGGTTGGTGGCATGCTGACAGTGAATTAACCTTAGGTGTGAATGTGTATGTTGCCCTGCAGTGTATTTCCGCCTCTCAACGAAGTGAGCTGGAGATAGGCACCAGCAGACCCCTCGGACCCTGAAAAGGAACAAGCAGTTAGAAGATGAATGAACCCCTGAGGTCTGTTAGGAAAGGGTTGAGGATTCAATAATTTTTTTTTTAATTAACTTGCATTTTTAGATTATTAAAAGCACAATAAATATTTGCGGGATTTGGTATCTTAATGACTGAAAATGGACAGTGTACTAGAACAAATAAAAAACGTTTGGTAAAGGCCCAGAACTTGTCCTGTGTATACCATTAAAACACTGGTTTTGCCCTTTCAGGATGCAAAAAATGTTTTTAATCCAAGTGCATAATTTAGTTAGTCAATTTACTTTTACTTTTTAGGTTGAATAAAAAGTAAAGATCATGAATAGATGACGGGGACCCAGCCAAAACTGGGCCACAACTACAGCAAGGGAGAGGCCAGAGTTGGACAGAACAAATTTTGCTATCTGGGTCACCTGGAGCAAGATTTTAGAGTCTAAAATCATCCTGTATTTGTTTGAAATACCGAAATCATCTGTCCTTTCTAGCTTCTGGCACCAAAAAGATATGCTCCAGTGGCACAATCGGTTACAGTACGGAACTTATAAGGTAATACAGAGCAAAGTTTGTCATCGTCGGTGAGTGCCTCACCTGGAGCAAGATTTTAGAGTATAAAAAAATCTTACCTTTGTTTGAAATACTGAAATTCTCTCCCTTTACTTTATAATAATTATTATTATCGTAATTAATCATGTACTAGTGGCACAATGGGTTAGTGCACTGTAGTTGTAAGACAGTACAGAGCAATGCTGAGGTTGTGAGTTCAAGCCTCACCTGGAACAAAGTTTTAACATTTCAAAAACAGTTACCTGGAATAAAAATACTGTAATCATCAAGATTCTGAAAACATCTTAACTGTGAATGAAATACTGAAATCATCTTTCCTCCCTTTTCTTGCTGCTGTAAATAAAAGTATGTTCCAGTGGCAAGTATTTATGTGTATTGTTTAGATTTGGGTGTAGTCTGTGAGGGGTGGAACTAAAGGAAGTCACCGTTCTTAAACAAATCTCAGACCAGCAAACGGTGCTCTGTGTTCTGCCAGAAAGCACATAAGAGGATCTGTCTGAACTTAAGGTACTGAACATAACTCTACTTTCAATTGTCAGTCAAACTGTGTTTTCTCAGTGATCTGAAGCCATTGTATTATGTGTTTTTTAGGTATGTCTGAAATAATATTTGAACCCTTTAAATGTTAATATATGGAGCTAACTAAAATATTTTCAGACAACACTTTACTCGACATAAAGAGCCAATGCTATGGATAGTTATTAATTGAAATTTGGATTTCTTCAGAAGGTTAGCTCACGTTTTCCTTTTTCATTCATTATTTAAAGAGTAAATCTGTAAAACACTACATGCTTTGTTCGTTCTTACATAAAGGAGAGAGATGAAGGACACAGAACTCAAGGAAGCCGATCAGGCAAAGCAGTTAATGACCCGAGAAACTGGGAGAAATGGCTGCGTGAAGGTCAACGTCCCGGAGAGCTCTAGAGAGCAGTACACCGGACTTTCCAAAGAACAGCTCATCAGAGTTGCTGGCACACCTGGGTACCCTGACTATATGAAGATAGCCTGTTCTTCCATCTACATAGTTTGTCACTAAGAAATTATTGTGTTTGTTCTTCAGGTGGGTCAGAACTCGGTGGGTTCTGCTGGTTCTGTTCTGTCTCGGTTGGGTTGGTATGCTAGCTGGGGCAATCGTGATCATAGTACAGGCTCCACGCTGCAAACCCATCCCTGAGATGCACTGGTGGAATGAAGGTCCTCTCTACCAGATACCAAACCTCAACGCCTTCTCAGCCAAAGGCCTGAAAGTTAAGGGGTTTATTTACTAATTCCAATGTATATATAGGATTTATACAGAGATGGTTATCTACTTGAGTATAAATGTAAGGAAACATATCTGGTTGAAAAAAAAAGTGAGTAGGAGGAACTAGCAACTGTTATTCTTGGTACAAAACGTGCCACTATATGAAATGTGTATAAAACAGAATATTCTGAAGCTGAGATATAGATTTGACGATTTGGTTGCTAGGGTAAAAAGTTACATTTCTGTGGAGTCAGTGACATAATATTATGTTTCCCATGTCACGATGAGAAAACTCTAGCAACCCCCATGTCTCTATGATTTTTGCTAAGCTGAGATAGAATACTATGGTAAACAGTCTGGTTGCTATGGAGGGGTCAATGACATAATATAATGTTCTCTGTTCAGATATGAGTAACATAAACCCCGATGTCTATATATGCTTTGCCAAAGCTGAGAAAGATTTCATAAATTTTGGTTGCTAGGGTAAACAGTTTGGTTCACCAACTTTAGTTGGTCCCTTTTTTCTCATTCTGGAGATGTTCTAAAAGCAGGATCATTCAAGCCAAGGTGATATCTTTCTCTGGGAAAGAAAATGTGACAACATCCTGTTGATGAGTTTTTGAGTTCACTGATTTGAAAGTAGTTTAACCACGTGTATTTTTAAAAGAGCCTTTCCTCTCTCCCTCTCCCTCTCTCTCTCTCTCTTTCTCTCTCTCTTTCTCTCTCTCTTTCTCTCTCTCTCTCTCTCTCTCTGCAGGACTGGAGGAGAAGCTGGATTATTTGAGTATGCTGAAGGTGAAGGCTCTAGTTCTGAGTGGGATACACACTGTAGAAGCAGATCGACTCGATTCTTTAAATTTAAGCTCATTGAATCCTGAAGCTGGCTCTGAGAAGGACCTTGATTCTCTTTTGAAACTGTCACAAAAGAAAGGTGAACTTTGAACCCGTTTTCTCATAGCATTCTTCTGATAAAACAAATCAAAATGAATGTATTTCTAATTCATTTGCAGCCTAAATTTCTTCTTCTTTTTACTCTCAGGAATCTCCATGGTGATGAATTTAACACCAAACTACCAAAGCACTTCCATGTGGTTCGAGAACCCTTCCGGTGTTGCTGAGAAAATACAAGTAAGTCTTTATCAGAGTGTTTACCTTTCTGTTTGCAACAATGCGGAAGAACATCTACAGTTACGTTCTCATTTTTAAAATAATAATACATTTAAATGCCGATTTAAATATTCAAATTTAAATATTTGCAGTATATAACAAAACTGTTTCAGTAGGTGATGCTGGATATGGAAGTAAGGTGACGAATCTTATCTTTGAACCAACTGTGTCCGCGCTTCCCCAACAAATATTGGAGGACACCAAATATATTTAAATATATTATATCAAATATCTAATATGTTTTATTTTTAACAGATTTAATGTAAATGTAGCATGTAAATCTAAAGTAATTTCATTATAAATAGGTAAAATATGGCTAAACCCATAGAAGTTCAAGGTCTTTTTGAGTGTTTTTACTACTTTACAAATCTGCTCTTATAATTAACATTTAAAACATTATAATTTTTTGTGCCAATGCTTGATTTCATTTATTTAGAACAACCCCAGCACCACATTTTGTACAAAAATATTTTCATTATATTACACAATAATTCCAAAACAACCTTGAAATTGTACAAAAAGTACAATTCTGAGTAGCAAAATTTTGTAATTTTTTTACTGCAAAAATAAAAAAAAATATTGTCAAAAACAGTTTTGCTATTTTATAATAAATAAAAATTCATAAATCCCCCCAAAAAGCAAAGATAAAAAAAACTATATAAAAATTGTGGTCAAAAATCCATGCAAACTCTAAACTTCATTCACTGTTCTAAGCTTATTTGTGCCAGAACTCTGAAAAATATAAGCCATATCATAGGTGTTGTACTTCCAATGGTTATCCCTTCTTTTCAACACTATATGGTACTGATTTGGGGTCGTGTATTGTCTCATATTTTAATTTAAAACCACAAATATCAAAACTAAAAAACTTTTTGAAACCTACTCATTATAATTAAATCAGAATGAAATAATAATTGGGTTGCATCATTCCTACATAATTCAAAACAGCTGGTGTGATTGGCACATGCACCAGTACGTGTACCATACACCGATACATTGTACTTTAACCGGTAATGTGAGTTGACCAATAATCTCGAAGAGGGGCATGGCTGACCACAGCTTGATGCACGGTTTTCCCTTTACTTGACTATTGGGCCTTTAATTGCATGCGCCATTAAAGCACATTTTTGTTATAAGCGATACATTAATGGCTGCTATATATATATATATATATATATATATATATATATATATATATATATATAACAGTACAGCTTTTTTAAAAAATTGGCACAGTATTTAAATATGTTAACCTTCCGTCTACAGGTAATGAAAGGAAGATATAAGTTTTTTTGCTCTCGTAATCAAGACAGATGTTTGATTTGTATTTTTAAATTTATGTGCTTACCATTTTTAGCAAGCATGTTCATACTGGTTGAAAAAAGGATTTGACGGCATCTTCTTGTCTGATGTGGGAGACATCGCCAAAACAAGCCTCTGGTCTTCTATTAAAGACATATTTAACAGAACTGATGAGCCTGAAAAAGTGTAAGTGACATGGAAACATCTGCCAGAAACCTCCAAGCTGAGGTGAAATGGCGCCTTCTACTGACCACATATAGAATCTTTCCACTATAATCTTTGAAACACATAATGTTGAAGTGTTTGAAAGATCTCTGTCTCTTGCAGGGCTCTGATGGGATCAGTCAGCAGTCTCTCTGTGGACGATATCTCTCTGGTCCTGAACAACTCTGGTGTGGACCTGCTGCTGACCAGGCTGCCTGATCCAGCAGAGAGTGGACAGAAACAGTCTCAGGCAATACTGAAACTCCACTCCAATCACAGGCAGACCAGTTTGGCCTGGGGTGCGGGACACCCTATGGCTACCAGGGCTCAAGCGTACCCTATCAGGCTCTATCAAACCCTGCTTTTCACGCTGCCAGGAACACCAGTGTTCACTGCTGGAGATGAGGTTGGACTCAAAGCTGAGGTGAGAGCTGCAGGGATGCCATGCCATCCCAGACTTTAACTATGAAAACTGGACTGTAACACCTTACAGTCGACAGAATTCCTTGTGTGTCCTTTACTCAAATAAATTTACTTGGCAAGTGCATGAATTAGCAAACGATCATTTTTTTTTTCAGTGACAAGTGATTAAATACAATAATTTGACTTACACAGTAGTAGTTACAACAATATCATGTTTTCTGAACCATTACAGGAACAACTTGAAACGTTGTGGGACTTGGAAACCCCAGTAGAAGAGAAGAACGCTAAAGCAAAGGTGAATTTTCAAAACTATTGAGATAACAAAACTAGATAGCTAAAACACAAACTTTAATGATGGCTTGTAAAAGTGCAGTTTAAAGCCAATGTCACAACCCCCATTTCTCAATAATAGCTTTTAAATAATAGTTTTAAACATTTCTCTGTGATGTTTGTCTTGATATGTTTGTTGTATTTTCCCATTTATTTTTAAAGACCATTATAAGTACTATTTAAATACTTAACCCCTTCTAGAGCCTCAATATTCTAGAGGGTTCAAATACTTTTGTACATTTTGGGTATGCCCCTGCACAGATTGATAACCTCCACATGTGTAGTGACTTTGAAGGTTCTATGAGATTCTCAGTATGACTTTGCAACATTTTCAGCCATTTCCCAGACTCCCTTTGTGGTAACAGTCTGAAAAGATATAGCAACCTGAGTCAGACTAGTTTGGATGTCATTTTAAAGTTTGGTTGCTGTAGCTTCAATGGTCAAGGGAGATGCGTTTAGAATTTGATCTATTGAATCTTTGAAAATCTACAATGAATAAACGTTCAAAAAGCTAGAGCTAAGTGGAGCGTTGCAAAAAAGTTAAAG